TTCCGCGGCCCGGTACCGGTCCGCGGACCGGCGGTTGGGGACCCCTGCCTTAGACTTATATACCTCTTCATAATGCTTTACAGCCCTCTCTAAGCAGTTTACAGAGTCAGTGTCTTGCCCCCAACATTTTACCCACCTTAGAAGGATGGAAGGCTGAGTCAACATTGAGCCAGTCAGGACTGAACTCCTGGCAGTGGGCAGAGTTAAGGGAGGGAGGGAGGGAAGGAAGGAAGGAAGGAAGGAGGGAGGGAGGGAGGGAGGAAGGAAGGAAGGAAGGAAGGAAGGAAGGAAGGAAGGAAGGAAGGAAGGGCAATAGCAATAGCACTTAAGACTTATTTACATACCACTTCACAGCCCTCTCTAAGCGGTTTAGTCAGCCTTTTGCCCCTCAACAAGCTGGATCCTCATTTTACCAGAAGGCTGAGTCAACCTTGAGCCAGTCAGAATTGAACTGCTGGCAGTGGACAGAATTAGCCTGCAATATTTGCAGACTAACACTGCACACTATGGAAAGAAGGAAGGGAGGGAGGGAGGGAGAAGGAAGAGAAACAGCAATAGCAACAGCGCTTCGCAGCCCTCTCTAAGCAGTTTACAGAGTCAGCCTCTGCCCCCCCCAACTATCTGGGTCCTCATTTTACCCACCTCGGAAGGAGGGAAGGCTGAGCCAACCTTAACCCTGGTGAGATTCGAACTGCCAAATTGCAGGCAGCCAGCAGAAATAGCTTGTAGTCCTGCACTCTTAACCACGGCGCCACCGCGGCTCATCATACAAGGTATCCTGACTTACAACAGTTCATTTCGTGACCATTGAAACTTACAGCGGCACTGAAAAAAGTGACTTACAACTGTTTTTCACGCTTACAACCCTGGTAGCATCCCCGTGACCAAAATTCAGGCACTTGGCCAACTGGTTCCTACTTACGACCGTTGCTGTGTCCCGAGGTCAGGTGATTTCCCCCTTTTGCGACTTTCTGAAAAGCAAACTCAAGGGGGAAGCCACATTCTCATGAAAGCCGTGTTCCTACCTTATCAACTGCGGCGATTCACTTAGCAACTGTGGCAACTATGGTCGTAAAACGGGGCAAAACTCACTTAACAAAGGTCTCCCTTAATAGCATACATTTGGGGACTCAATTGTGGCTGTAAATCGAGGACTACCTGTATACAAATACCAGACCAACAATGAAGCAACAAAAACAGCCTAGTATAAAGGACACACACTGGGAGGGCAAACCATTAGTATATAAAAATAAGGGGAAACTCCACTTCCTTTCAGCACTGATGATGTTACCTAGTTGGGTCATGAAATGTCCACAAGAAAACCACCAAGCTCAGAGAGCACCCAGGATCCCACAGTACTCCTCCTCTTCTTCTCCTCCACTCTGCAAACCCTTCCTCCCTCCCTAACTCTGATGATGTTATCTAGTCGGGTCATGAAATGTCTGCAAGAAAATCACCCAGCTCAGAGACCACCAAGGAACCTACAGCCCCGCTCCTCCTCCTCCTGTCTTCTCCTCCACTCCACAAACCCCATTCAGTTCTAGCACTGATGAAGTTCCCTCGTTGGGTCATGAAACATCTGCAAGGAAACAAGCCAGCTCAGAGAGCACCAAGGACCATATAGTTGTCCCCCATCTTCTTCTCCACTCTACAAACCCTTCTAGCATAGATGATGTTCCCCAGTTGGGTCATGGAACATCTGCAAGAAAGCCACCAAGAACCCCGTCATTGTCCTCCTCCTCCTCCTTTGTCTCCTCCTCCACAAACCCCACTCCCTTCTAGCACGGATGATGTTACCTAGTTGGGTCATGAAACGTCTGCAAGAACACAACTGAGATCACACAGCACCAAAGACCCCATGGTCCATAGTCAAAAAGGGCATTTAGCTGACCTGTAACAGTGTCCTGGCTCTGTACGGCCAGCTCGTCCCGCCCGCTGGTTGGCCGAAGCCTGTGACGTCCACATAACCTTGAAGGACGAGATGCCGGTGACTTTGTCGTAGAACCGTTTCTTGACCTTCCCGCAATCAACCACGTATCTGACGCCCGGGATGGTGAGTGACGTCTCTGCCACGTTGGTAGCCACGACGCACAGCCTGGTCCCAGGTGGAGGCGGCCTGAAAACCTGAGAAGGGGGCAGGTTTCAACAGAGAACCATCTCACCAAAGACAAGAGAATGAAGTCTACTAAAGTAGTCACTCCTACAAGGAGCAACTGCAGTGATGTTCTCCACACTGGAGAGCTCCAGGCTTCCCGCCAGCCCATGCCCTATTTGTAAAGACTCCTGTCAACTAAAAAAATACTTCTTTGGTCTTTTTAGTTGTCAGCAGAAAGGGAGTGGGGGAAAGCAGTGCATTCCTTAAATGCTTCAGATCATCACTTTGGCAACCAAAGCTTCTGGCATGCAAGATTATTATTGGAGAGCATGATTGATGATTCTTGGCTATGGATGTGTCTCATTGGAGAATATACATCCAGGGGTTGGGTGGAAGACCAGGGTCAAGGATGAAATGAATGATGTGTCTTAGAGTCGGCTGTAACTGGGATACGCCAACATGTAAACTCCTAATAAATCAATCTTTTTTACTTTGAGAGATGCAGCTGGAGACTTAAGATTTGAATGCATGTCGGAGTCCTGACAACTCCATTACTGGGGTGGAATGTGGTCTGGATTCCCCCTTGCCTTTGCTTGTCAGAAGGTCCGCAAAAGGAAAACACGTGACCTTGGGACCCTGCAATTTTTAACAGAGGCACGACTGAGAGCGTTTTGCACAAACTGCATCCCTGTTTGGTTTGGTGGCTGCAGTGCCTCCAATAGAAAGTCCCTACAGAGAGTGGTGAGGACAGCGGAGAAGATTTTAGGAAGCTCACTTCTCTTGATTCAGGATACTGCTTATAAGCGCTATGGGCTTAGAGCTCAAATCATTGTTAGAGACCCCACATACCCACTTTAGGGTCTGTTTCTGTTGCTCCCCTCTGGGAGTAGTTTTTGGAGTATTTCTAGCAGGACTTCCAGATTCTGTAAGTTTTGTTCCCTACGCCGCCACCCGTCTGCTAAACTCACAAGTTTAGTTTCTCTCACCATAAACATGTATACATCTGAACTAGACAGTGTTGTATCTCTGTATCATATAATATATGTGGGTATAAACATAATTTTGTATTTATATATTTTGTCATGTTTACATAAGGTGTAACGACACTATAGAGCCGTGCACACCAGAATAACTAGACACGACAATTTTTTCCCAAACGCCATCACTCTGCTAAACAAATAATTCCCTCAACACTGTCCAACTATTTACAAAGTCTGCACTACTATTACTGTTAATCTTCTCATCACTCCTTATCACCCATCCCCTCCCACTTGTGACTGTATGGCTGTAACTTTGTCACTTGTATCCTTACGACTTTTATTGACTGTTTCCTAGTATGATTTGATTGCCTATTGTACCCTATGACTATTATTAAGTGTTGTACCTGATGATTCCTGATGAACGTATCTTTTATGTACACTGAGAGCATCTGCACTGAAGACAAATTCCTTGTGTGTCCAATCACACTTGGCCAATGAAGAATTCTATTCTATTCTGTTCTGTTCTGTTATTCTATTCTATTCTATTCTATTCAGAGTGGTGACCCTCTGAGAGCTGTATGCAATGGAATTTCATTTTAATGTCTGCCAATTAATGTACGGTCAAACTGACAATGAAGTTATTCTAAGTCTACAAATGTTCATAAGTACACACAGCTTTTCTGAATGTACCTCAATATTCCTACAGGGGTGTTTAGTCTTACCTTGGCTTGCTTTTCAGGAGCCAACAAAGAGTAGAGAGGAAGAACGTAAAGTGGGTGGGAAGAATCCGGTTTTTCACCTGCATTCAAATTATAAATAGGAAAATATACATATAAGTGCTGAAAAGATTAGCCTTTTAGGTTATTAGTACTATAATCTGCATTTTCAAGGCACAGTAAGACCTCTGCTATTTTTTTTAACTATTTGATGATTAACCTTACGTGTTTTTGTTTTAATTGCTCAAGCCTATGAATTCTTGGGAAATAAGGCAGTATAAAAATATAACCAATAAATAAATAAATAAGTTTCAATATGTTTTTCAAAATCAGAGCTAAGGGGCAAGGGAAGAAGAAAAGCAGCATGTATTTTTTTTTTCTGGCAGCTTCATAAGAATTAGCCTCTTTGTGATTTTATTTAGATCTATTGAGCATAAATCTAACAGAGCAGTCACTCTAAGAACAGGGATACTCCACCTTAAAAAAAGCTCTCCTGCTTTTAAAGAAAGACCATCTTTGAGGAGGTGATATAATAAGGTGCTAACTTAACATTTGTGATTTGTTGAATAAGCCAGGTTTCGTTTTCCTACGTTAAATATCAGAGGTCTCCAAACTTGGCAACTTTAAGATTTGTGGACTTCAACTCCCAGAATTCTCCAGCCAGCTATGTTGAAGTCCACAAGTCTTAAAAGTTGCCAATTTTGTGGACCCCTGATTAATACGAAGGCAAGATCTGTCCATAAAATAGGGAGGAAAAGAGGCTGAATCAGATGACGTCTCATCTTATCAATACAATGTTACTCAGGCTAATGTGATTTGATCGGCTAACCATGATTAAAAAATCTCTTTGGCCTTCTGCAAACTCAGCCAACTTTCAAAGGCTCGGAAAGGACAAACCTTCTTGCAGGCAATTTTCACCCAGATCAAGATCAAGATCTGAACCAGCCGAGTTCGCTTCTTCGTCGTCTTCCGCGGCCTCTCGATCTTCATCCCCTTCGTCAATCGGCAGAATGGAATAATTATCCAGATTAATTTTGGGCAGGGACTAGAAAGAAAGAGGAAAAAAAAAAACCCTAGCAACCTCAAAGTCTCAACATCCTTCTAGATTTAAAATTTAGAAGGCATTTGGGAGAATCTTAAAACCTGTTTGGAAAGTAGGAACATATCCAATCATTCTAAAGCAAGAAGATCAATCAGATTCTTATCATTTAGTAGATAGAGGGTACTTAGAGGAGATAAATGTGCAAAATATTTGGGGGGAGGTTTTTTTTTTTTAAAGAAGGAGCAGATATAGGTTGTCCTTGACTTATAACCATTTAACGACCAAAGTTACAACAGCACTGAAAAAAGTGACTTACAACTGGTTTTTGCACCTGTAATTTTTGCAGTGTATAAATGGTCACATGATCAAAATTTGGGCTCTTGGCAACCAAGCCTGTCATTTGTGACAGTTGCAGGAAAATATTGCTTACTTGAAGAGCATGTTTCTTTTTCTGCCTGGATTTCTTAAACTTTCTGACGGCTTCTACGGAATCGTCTTCAAATTCAAAGCCTACAAAGAGCAAAGCCACACTTTTCTCAATCAGGACTATAAAATGTTAGTAGAACTCTCAGAATTCCCCAGCCGGCATGGATGGACTTCAACTCCCAGAATTCCCCATCCAATATGGACTTCATCACCTAGAATTCTTCAGGCAACATGGATGGACTTCAATTCCCAGGATTTCCCAGCCAACATGGACAGATTTCGACTCCCATAATTCCCCAGCCAGCAGAGGTGGACCAACTCCCAAATTTTTCCACTCAGCACAGATATAACAACACAAAAATGCAATAAAACAGATAGATATATTATGTTATATATATTAACGGCTGCAAGGATTTCGTACGCACAACTCTGGAAGGAAAAAAGGGTTCCACCGGAAGGCATGGTGATTAAAAAAATAATAGATTGTATAGAGATGGACAGGCTAACGATGAAAATAAAAGACAGAGAAGATTCAATTTATTATAAGACCTGGGAGGCCTGGGATGAATGGTTTAGAAATTAAAAGAAAATAAAATGGCAATTGGGAAAAGAATGAGGGAATATGTAAATATACCATGGAGAAGATTGAGATGTAAGGATAAAAGATATTGATTTATAGTAAGAGTAAGATGTAATGGTAAAGGAATAAGTAAATACATATACTGAAAAATGTGAGGACATGCAAAAGATGTCTTGATGTTGATAACAATGTATAAAGTTTTATTTTATGTTTTTAAAATTTGGAAACTTAATAAAATTTATTTAAATAAATAAATAAATAAATTCAAGTTGTGTTTGTTTTGGCACATAAACTCACTCAAAACCTTAAAAAGACTTTGGCGATATTAATAAAAAATATGCATCTCAATTTGTATCAAAGCACTAATTTTGTGTGGTTTCTATGAGTGAAAAGTTGATTAAACATATCAATACAGCTTAAACCTGAAAGCATGCAGGACTTTTTCACACAGCTGTAAATAGTCCTCCTGATGCTTGGATTTACCCCTCCCACAATCCCTTGGCCACGTTAACACCCCCAAAAACCTCTGGATGGCCCCGGTTGCCCCCTCCCAGAGCAGAAAAGAAACAGCCGTGTTCTCAAGGTTGGCCCTTTTTCCGTGTTGCTGCCTGAAGAAAAGCCTTAAATCGGAGGACAACAGGGGTAAATTTCGAAAAGTGCAAAACTTACCCGCGGTTGCATTTTTGCAAAACGGGAAGGACTTCCTTAGCCTCCGACAAAGGGAATGGACTTCGGCCTGTCCGGTTAAGAACACCAAAATGCCCCCTGCAAAAGGAAAGGAAGGACAGCATTTTAAACTGGACCATTGGAGAGAAAGTTGCAAAGAGCACAAAGAGATTCTCAGTCATCCAAGTCATGGTTGTCCCAAAGGTGCTTTTTTTTCAGGAAGTAACTGGACTTTCTTGTTTTTGTTTTCATTTGAAGAGATTTCACTTCTCATCCAAGAAGCTTCTTCAGCTCTGAATGGATGGTGGGGCATGGAAGGATTGATATTCCTTGCAGACAGCTGGTCATTTGCATCCTTTTTAGAGGGTCATTGAGGCCACTTGGAGGTTTATCTGTGTCCTCAGGATCACCTGAATGGGGCTGCTGCTTTTTTGTAGCCTGCAATTTTTCCTCTGGAAATCCATTCCTACTCCCACTTCATCCAAAGGGTGTTCGTCCCAAATTGGACTTTTTTTCTTTTGAAGACGTTTTGCTTCTCCTCCAAGAAGCTTCTTCAGCTCTGATGGTAGAGAATGGAAGGATTTATACTCCTTGAAGACAGCTGGTCATTTGCATCCTTTTACAGAGCCATTGAAGTCACTCCTGGTTCCTGCAATTTTTCCTCTGGAAATCCATTCCTACTTCCACACCATTCAAAGGGGGTTCATCCCAAATTGTATAGCTAAAAAATTCGGCAGAGATTCTCCAGGCCTTGGTTGTCCCAAAGGTGCTTTTTTCAGGAGGCAACTGGATTTTCTTCTTTTTTTCTTCTGAAGATGTTTCACTTCTCATCCAAGAAGCTTCTTCAGGTCTGACCCCCGGGGGGACGCTGCTACAATCATCAGTGTGAACACACTTGCTAAATCCCTTTTTTCAGTGACGTCGTGACTTCGAGCCGCCACTCAATGAACATTTGTAAATCAAGAACTACCTGTAGTCTTGGGGCAGTTGGTTTTCTCCACTCTTTCACCTCTCTTAGAGGACCCTGAGCCCTTCCATGCCTCACTTTCCTGTCAGAGCTGAAGAAGCTTCTTGGATGAGAAGCGAAACGTCTTCAAAAGAAAAAAACAAGGAAGCGTAGAACATCTGTCTCTGCAAAAAAATTAAAATAAATGAAAACCTCCTGTTTCCCTTTGCAGAATATCAAAATGTTTAAATGCTGAAACACCTGGCTGGGGATGATGGGGGTAGATATCCAGTTGGGTGGTCCTGCTTTGGGGAAGAAGCAGAGAGATCTATGGGTAGTCAGAACTTTAAAGGGAATATTTGTAGCTCAGGGTTGAAGTGAGCAGTCCTTGGGGCTCTCTGAGCTTGGC